TCAAGGAGCTTCCCGAGGCTTCCAGAGGCCACCAGGTGTTTGCAGAGAGCCCCAGGAGCCTCAGTGCGGAGTTTGGAGGCCTCACGGGGCCTGGACATGAGGGGGCCTCCTCCTCCTCCTCCTCCTCCTCCCTCCTCCTCCTCCTCCTGCTCATCTTCTTTGTGTCGCGAGGCTTTCGGCCCCCTCGTCACCACGGCCTCTTCGCGGTTCGGAAACACGTGAACGAACCCAGGGCCGTTCTGAGCGGGTTCTTTTTTCCTTGACCGGGTAGGACCTTCGTCGCCACGACTGGACGCGGGTCGGAAAGCACCTCGAGATGACGTCCGTGAGTTTTTATTCAGGCTGGGGCAAGGGGACTGTGAAGTGGGATGACGAGTCTGGCCTGGTTGACGTCGCGCTGACCGTGTCGTCTTACTTCCCCGACACAGGGGAGGCTTTGTCAGGTTGCCAGGTGTTGTTCCAACCCCGGGGCGTGTTCAGGCAGTTGCGCTTCGTTCAGAACTTTCGCCCTCCCTCTCCCTCCTCCCTCCTCGTCGTGCTCATCCTGCTCCTCTCTTCCCTCCTTGTCCTCCTCTTCCTTCTCCTGCTCCTCGCTTCTCCCTCCTCGTTGTCCTCATCCTACTTCTCTGTTCGCCTCTCCCCGTGCTCCCACCCGTCCGACCGCCTCCCGGGGAGCGACCGATTGCGTCTGCGAGTCGTGTCTCTCTTTCCCGCGGGGGTGTTTTCTGTCTTGAGATTGGAGCCAGAGGCGGATGGGAGGCGGAATGATGCGTCCGTTGCTGAGGAGGAGGTGGTCACTAACGTCAGAAAGGCAAGTGTCACAGCCAGTGCATGGTGAATTCAAGAATGGCCGCGTGGTAATGTCAGCGTAAAGACGGAGCTAGAGCGGGCTGGAGTCGGAGAAGGGTGTGTACGCACGCGTCGGAAGAAGAGTTCAGGCCAGGGTCGGAACCAGCGTTGGTGTCGGGGCTGGGGTTGGAGCCGAAGTCGTAGGAGTAGGAGCTGGAGTCGGAGAGGCGAGAAAATGAGAGTCGCAGTCGGAAGATGAGAGCCGGAGTCGGAGGGACGGTGACATGGTAGCCGAAGTCGGAGAAACGAAACCGTGTATTGCAATTTGGCAGAGGATTTGGAGTGGAAGCGCTGGGAATCGGGGCCAAAACAACAGGGATCGGAGTCGAGTGGAACTAGTAACTAAAGGCAGCAGAAACGAGTAAGGACAGGGAGGGGATGGATGGAAGGACAGGAGGAAGAGGAGGGAGAGGAGTTTGGGATGGTCCTCCTGGCCACACTCAGAGATGGCTCGAACATAACATGTCAGGATTCAATTCGGAACTGGTCTGGAAGTCGAATTTGAGCCATTTGTGACGACGATGAGGTGAATATTCATGATGATGACGATTACGGTGATTGTGATGCTGCAGCTGCTGCTGCTGCTGAAGATGATGATGATGATGGTGATGATGGTGATGATGGTGATGATGACGATGATGATGATGATGGTGGTGGTGGTGGTGATGATGGTGAGGATGAGAATGAGGATGAGGATGATGATGGTGGTGATGAAGATGATGACCATGATCATGATCATGATCATGATGCTGATGATGATGATGATGATGATGGTGGTGGTGGTGGTGATGATGATGATGATGCTGCTGATGATGATGATGCTGATGATATGATGATGATGATGATGATGATGATGATGATGATGATGATGATGATGATGATGATGATGATGATGATGGCGATGGCGATGGCGATGGCGATGGCGATCATGACGGTACTGATAATGCTGGTGACGATGGTGGCAATGACGATTGCGATGACGATTGCGATGACGATTGCGATGGAGGCCACTCCTGCCTGAGACATCCTCGCAACTCTGGGTTCCGAGACGCCCTGGGCTGAGGTGGTCAGATCACTCTCGCCAGAGACATCCTCGCAACTCTGACCTCAGAGATCTCTTGCCCCATGGTGGTCAGGCCACTTTCGCTGAGACATCCTCACAACTCAGACCTCGGAGGTGTCCTGCCCCATGGTCGTGTGGTCACCTTGACCAGCGACAACCTCGCCACTCTGGTTTCCAAGCTGCCCTGCCCCATGGTGGTCCGGCCACGCTTGCCTGAGACATCCTCGCAACTCTGGGTTGCGAAATGCCCAGAGCTCAGGTGGTCAGGCCATTATCGCCTGCGACATCTCTGCGGCATGTGCGGGCATGTGCGTCTATGCTTTCAGAGTTTTGCTTGACCGTGCTTTCGACTGTGCGTCGGACGGTGTGGCATGTGCGCGCATGTGCGGCAATGCTGTTGATGCTTTTGTATATCTGCATGGGCATGTGCATGCGGCTGTGCTGCATGTGCCTGCATGTGCGGCCCCTTCCGGACCACAAGTTCAAAGTGAGCACTGTAGAAGTGAGCGCTATAGAAGTGAGTCCGGTGTAGGATGACGATGGTGGTGACGTGACGTGGACAATTTCGGTGGTGATGTCTTACATCTTCGGGCCTTCATGGCGGACCTCTTGGGCGCCTCTTAGGCTCCTTTTTGGCCGTCTTGGGCTCTCTTGGACTATCTTGGTGGCCTTGGAGGCATCTTGGGAGCGTCTTCGAGCGGGTTGTGGGTCAGAGTTCTCAGGGATGTTTCCTGGGGTCTCTTCGGAGGGCCTCTTGGGCTGTCTTGGGCGCCTCGTGGGCCGTTTTGGGGCCGTCTTGTGACCCTCTGGGGAGCCTCTTGGGCAGTCTTGGGACTATCTTCGGGGCCTCTTGAGCCGTCTGAGAATTTCGGAAAACCGAATAGGCGAAAAGACCAAACACCTTCAACAATCATTGGACAATCTATGATTCTGGCCTCTTGGGGCGCTCCTGGGAAGCCTCTTGGAGGCCTCTTGGGCCGTCTCGGTGGTCTCTTAGGCCTTCTTGGGGCCATCCTGGGCATCTCGGAGCAATCGTTCGGCGACTCTGGGCCCCATTGGACCATCTTGGCGGCTTTAAGGCCCTCTTGGCCCGTCTTGGGGCCCTCTTGGGCCCGAGAAGTCACGCGGGAAGACGATCCAATGCCCAGGGGACACGCGGAAAGCCCCGGGAGATTTGGCAATGTTGGGTCCGGGTCCCTGAACGACTCCTCAGGATGGAGATCTGCGGCTTCAGGGATTCTGCAAAAGACCTGAGGACACGCCCACTTAATGCCCAGCCTCACGGTGGTGGATACAGAAAGGATGAGGGGGAGGAGGAGGAGGAGGAGGATGAGGAGGAGGAGGATGAGGAGGATGGAGGAGGAGGAGGAGGAGTAGGAGGAGGAGGACTAGGAGGAGGACTAGGAGGAGGACTAGGAGGAGGAGGAGGTTGAGGAGGAGGAGGAGGAACTAGGAGGCGGAGGCGGATGGAGGAGGAGGAGGAGGATTAGGAGGAGGGGGAGGAAGTGGAGGAGGCTGAGGAGGAGGAGGAGGAGGAAATAGGAGGTGGAGGGGGAGGAGGCGGAGGGGGAGGAGGAGGAGGAGGAGGAGGAGGAGGAGGAGGAGGAAGAGGAGGAGGAGGCAAAGACCAACAGGGGGGTGGGGACCAGGGTGACCCCGCACAGGTTTCAAGTATGGCGCGCCGTTCTGCCTTGCCGCTGATCTTGGTGCGCGCCGCCGCCCCTCTCTTTGGCAATGACTGGCTGCCTCCTTGCTCCTCCTCCTCTTTCCTCTCGGCTCCACCTGTTTCGTCCACCTCCGTTCTCACTTTGGCTCTCTCCCCCCTACTCGCTTCGCATCCTGGCCGCTTCGGTCGTTGATCTGGAGGGTGGGTGGGTTGCAGAGACGGAAGATTACATTCCGTTGGCATTTTGGTTTGAGGCCGAATTGTTCTGCGAGGCTTCGATGGATTCTTGAAATATGAGGGGGAGTGAATGTCTCGTGCTTCTGCGCGCGATGGGTAATTAGGTTGGCCCTCCTGGGCGCGGCAAACCTCAGCTCGCTAAGTGACTGGCCAGACGTGGTCCACTATTTCGAGCTTCATCCCGCAAGATGAACAAAGCAGGTCGCCAAGCAGATGAGTGACTCTGCGAGTGACTCCACTATTGGTGCATTGGTAGGTCAATGATATCTGTGGGGATGACGTTGATGATGCTGATGATGATGATGATGATGATGATGATGATGATGGTGCAGATGATGCTGCTGATGATGAAGGTGGTGATGGTGATGGTGATGGTGATTGTGATGATTGCGATGGTGAGTATGATGATGCTGCTGATGATAATGACGATGATGATGCTGATGATGCTGCTGATGACGATGATGGGAATGATGATGATGCTGATGCTGATTATGATGATGATGCTCGTGTTGGTGATGGTGATGATTGTGATTATGAGTATGATGCTGAGGATGATGACGAATACAATGCCGATGACGTCGACGATGACGATGACGACGACGATGATGATGCTGTTGATGACGATGATGGTCATGAAGATGCTGATGATGACGACGACGAAGACGATGACGACGATGATGATGACGATGCTGAGGAATGATGATGATGATGATGTTGCTGATAATAATGCTGAGGTTGATGGTGATGATGATGGTGATGAGGATGATGCTGATGATGAGGAGGAGGAGGATGATGAGGATGAAGAGGATGGGGAGAATCATGAGGATAAGGATGAGGATGAGGAGGAGGATGAGGAGGAGTAGGAGGAGAATGAGGGGGAGGAGGAGCCGGAGCAGGAGGAGTAGAAGGCAGGGGGGAGGAATAGACAGAGGTGGAGCTGAGGGCGAGAGATAAAAGGATGTAGCGAGGGGGAGGAGGAGGAGGAGGAGGAGGAAGAGGAGGAGGAGGAGGAGGAGGAGGAGGACGAGGAGGAGAGCTTACTTGCCGTCACCCTTGCTCTGTGTTCTCGCTTGGCTTCTTTTCACCGCGTCTTTCCGCCCCAGGGACTCTTCTCCACGGCTGAGCATAGCTCGAAACATACATGGAAGCATTCAGGGAATGATGCCGATCGAACTTTGAAAGGGTCGACCACAAACGATAGTTTCATGTCGTCAAGGCGCGCGCGCACAAGTTTCATCCGTAGTCGTTGGCTCGAGCGTTGCTCTCAGGCTCGCGGCTGCGCCCTGCTTCACCGCAGCGGCCATGGCGCGGCCTGCGCCCACATCCTTCCCGCACTTCAGCGGCAGTGGCAGGGAGGGGCCGCCCGCCGCTTTCGCGGCCCCAGCGGGGCCCCACGCCAGGGCTGTGGGCCCAAACGCAGCAGCGCGCCGCGCAACGGAGCCGGTGTTCCTGCTCGCGTTCCTGGCCTGCTCCGTGGCCCCGCAGCTGTTTTTCGCCGGCCACGCGCTGCTTGCGGGTGCGCGCGACGGCCGCCTCGCAGCGGCAGAGCTTCCCGAGGGCCTCTTCGCTGGGCTCCTGTGGGCCATGCTGGTGTGCACAGTCATGGGCTTTCTGCTGCTTCAAATCCTGCGCTACATGCCGATCGGGCTCGTGCTCTATGCGGTTGTTGGCGGCAGCGCCAGCCTGCTGGCCGGGCTTGGTCTGCTCGTCAGCATGGGCGCTGTATCTGTGGCGGGGTCTGACAGCGAGGAGCCGCTGCCCTTCGAGCGCGCCTCCACGAGCGCCGCCGTCTCACGAGTGGTTGCCGCGCGGCTTGGGGAGCTGTTGCTCTTGGCCGCCGCGGTGGAGCTCGCTGTCGTGGCGTACTTCTGGAAGGAGGTCCGTCTCTCGGTCTCCGTGCTGCGCGCCACCGCGCTCTTCCTCAGAGACGTGCCAAGTGTGCCGGCGCTGCTCCCGCCTCTGTTCGGTATTCTTCACTGTGCGGGCCTGCTCTTGTGGGCACTTGCCGTCGTGGGCGCGGTCGAGGTGCTTGGCAGGGACGACGAGCTGGGTACAACACTGCGGGAGTGCTACGCCGTGCACACGGCGGTCGGGCTCTCGCTGTGCTATTTCTGGGGCAACGGCTTGGTAACCGCGTTGTCATCTTTCACGACCGCGGCTGCAGCTTCTGACTGGTACTTCGCACGGCAGCACGAGAAGCGGCACGTGGCGGCGCCGAGAAGATGCGCTAAGCTCGGCGGCATCCGCCTGCCCCTTGATGTTTTTGAGACTGTGGCTGGCCTTGAAGGGCGTTCGTTGAGAATGGCATGGATCAGGGGAAGAGAAGGACGAGATTGAGGAGGCTGAGCAGGAGAAAGAGAGCATCGACGACGAGGATGACGAGGAGGATAGGGCATGGTCCTCTTGACTAACTTAAATGCGGGGCCACTCGGGCCCGTGCTTCGATTCTTGAGACAGTTTTGGGGCCGACGAGCCTGCCAACCTCTGAAGGTCTTTAGTTTTCCTTCCCCCCTGCTTCTCTCGAAAGGGAATAATACAGTCGTCCCTTCTCCTCCGCCTGCTCCTGAAGGTCTTCAGTTTTGCTTCCCCCTGCTTCTCTCGAAGGGGAATAATACACTCGTCCCTCCTCCGCCTGCTCTTCCTCCTCCTCCTCATCCACCTCCCCCCTCCTCCTCCTGCCCCAACTTCGTTGATGAGTCTTGGGTCTGCACTGGTCCTCGTCCTCTCTTGCTTCTCCTGACCGTATCGTTATCGTACCCGTAATAGTAGTCGTTGTCGTCATCGTCGTTATTTTTGCGCGGCGGGTGCCGCGGAAAAATAAGTATATTTGCACAATTGGTGGGACCCCAGTCCGTCAATATGGGTGTGGGGAGAGCTCTCAAGACCCTTAGAGGTTGTCCAGAACACATTTGAAAACAATTGGATGTCCGAGGCTTCTCTAGTGGCCTCTATGGGGCCCCCCGGTGCCCTTCTTAAGGGTCCCTCTGGGGCCTCTAAGGCGTCCCACGACGCTTTCCAAGCTATGGCCAGTGTAGGGGCAGCTTTAAGCCATTCCTGGACCGTCAGGGCCCGTCTAGAGAGCACGGAGCTCTGGTGCGCTCCTCGGGCTTCTCTGACACCGCCGCCCTCTCCCGCAAATCGTGCAACCCGACCCTCTCAAGGGGAGGGGCCAGGGATGGGGACGATGTCTCACACGCTGGTGCCTAAGGGGCTCCGCGAGTTGTTGCAGATCGTGAAGGTGGGCGTTTGTGCCCACGGCGGCTCCCTGGCCCTCGGCGCTCTCCTCGTGGCCGTCGTGCGTACGCTCAACCTGGCGCTGTTCTGGGCCGGGAGGAACCACCAGCGGCGCGAGGGCGACTCTGCGCTCTGGCGCTTCCTGCTGCGCCTGCGGGAGGCCGGGGCAGGCTTCTTGGAGTGGATGGCTAAGATAGCCGCCAAGCAGGCCTACGTGGAGGTGGCCATCTCTGGCTGTGGCTTTCTTCAGGCCGCCAAGGTGGCCACAACGCGCGTCGCGAAGGCTCCAAAGAGCTTTCTCGCAGTGGAGAGCGCGGGCGCGTTCCAGCGCTTCGGGAGCCAACTTCTGTTGATCGTGTCTGCGGGCTGCGTTGCGGTCGCTCTTGTGCCGCTTGACGATGGGGCAGAGACGAGCACAGTGGCCTCGCTGCTTCTAGCCTTCGGTGGAGCATGGCTCGTGGCAGAGAGCGTGCTGCATCCAGTCAGCGTGGTGACCACGACCATCCTGCAGTGCCTTCTCCTTGATGACAGGACTTGCAAGGAAGACTACGTGCCCGCGCCACTCCGCTGGCTGATGCAGGCCCCCGAGTCCTCTTTCGCTGCCCACTACCCCTGAGCGCCGGAAGGGTGAAGGAGGGAGGAGAGGGGACACAGGTATCCGCCATCGCGAACTCATCACGACGTAGTGAAAATCATCATGATTGGAGCTTGCTACCCCATCCTCGCGCAGGATCGCTCGAGCGCAATGATTACCGTGCTTCGCGGTCTGGGCTGGAGAGTTGCCCTTCGTGCCCAGGTGGCCGTGCGGAAGCGCGAAGACAAACCGCGCGTCGCGGCGCGCTTCCCCCCGGCGCGAAGCTCGAATAGTGGCGAGCCAGAGGAACCGACGCCAACACCACCAGCAGGGCCACCCTCGGCGAGGAGCTGCCTCGAGCGGGACGCCGAAAAAGGGCAGGGCCCCACCACCGCGAAGACGTGCCTCCGTCCCTGGACCACGGCGTTGCTGGTGCCGTCTTCTCCTGTCCCCCCCAGAGCCAGACTCAGGACTCGGGACTCAGGTATCCGCGAAACAATCATGTGCCAGGGTCGGTGCTGGGAGTGTGCACGATGCCGATGCGGGTGAAGATCAAAGCAGCCCACATGGATTGGGCTTAGAGGCAAGATAATTATCTAAACCAAGCGGTCCTAGATCCCACGTGCCAGAGCTGTAGAGGGGAACAGGCGGCTGGGCCGACAAGCCTGTTAAGATCGCACGGCTCGAGCGGTGAGAGAGGGCCGCAGGACGGCCCGTCAGGACGGTGCCTGGCCTGGCCCTTGGTGGGCCACGAGGTCCTCCAACTCACAGTGTGAAAAGGTCCCCCTCCAGAGGAGGGCGGGCGGGGCCGAAATCTTGCGCGTACGGCAGAGCCGACGAGGACGAGAGGAGGAGGAGGAGGAGGAGGAGGAGGAGGAGGAGGAGGAGGAGGAGGAGGAGGGCAAGGGAACGGCACGAGAGGGGGAAAGTGCGCTAGTGGATCTGGTAAGACATGGGTTCTGTAGGATTCCTGAAAGCGCGACCCCTGTCCTAGTGGTTCTAGTGGTGGTCTAGTGGTGGTCTAGTGGAAATCTAGTGTTCCTTGGTTTACCGACCCTGGCCTCTAGTCAGGGTTGGTTTGCCCACCCTGGGGCCTAGTGAGGGGGCCTTGCGCGCTCTTCAACAAAAAAAACGGTTAAAAAAATCCTAGACGTTTCCTATCTGTGACCGAGGTCGAGTGCATTGAGCACATCTGCATGCCTTTGTCGCCTAAGGCTTCGGACACGCAGCGGCCTGCCACGCCCCGCGGCGAGGCCACACTTACGCACAGCGCTGAAAGATGCCGACGGCGCACGCCCACAAAATGTTGCGGGATGCGCAACTGCACGCGCAATCGGGTTACCAAAGCCAATATTGCCCGCAAGTGCTAGAAGCGTGCCCACGGATGACTACTTGAGCCAAAAGGGCCACGGGGACAGAGGAGGGGGGTGAGGAAATGGGGAGATAAATATGTGATTGGTTAAGCGGCGATGCTAGAGGGATGGCCTGGGAGGGGAGGGGAGAGAACGTGGAGAGAAGAAAACTCGAATAAAGTCAGAACGCTTAGAACTTCCAGCAGCGAAAAGAAAAACAGTGACGTCTGCCTCTTGAGGGACCTCAGGAGGGTCCACCTGGCGCCCTTGGGGCGTACTGGACTTCTCTTGGGCCGTCTTGACGCCAGTCGCGGGGCGTCTTGGAACGCTCTTGGGCTGTCTCGGAGCCCGCTCGGAAAACCTCGAGAGACTCAACAGGGCCATATGGGTGACATATTGTAATAATCCAGGTGTAAGCTTATGGAACAGACGTAACCTCTCGTCTAGCTTTGTCATATTGCGTCATACGTGAACGGCACATGGGTGTATAGCGCACTTCCTTGGAGACATCGGGATGTCGATTGGCACAGATAATGCACTGGCTTCATGCTGGGTGGTGTTCTAAACATATCATTTGTACATTTGTATGTGACTGGCGTTTCATATATATATATATATAGGTGTGTGCACATCTCTGTATGACTATCCTCTGTGTTAATCCCTCCCTGCTCCGTGGCTATGTTGTGCAGGACGCGTGTACTATACCTCATGAGACTTGGCTTACGCTACATTTGTTGCACCGCATAGGTTGCGTCACCAAGGTTGCACCACATAGGTTGCATAACGTAGATTGCATGCCATAGATTTCACCAAATAGTTTGCACCGCAAGGCTGCTCTGTCTAGATTGCACGGCAGAAATCAGACTACATACGTTCGGCCCACATTGGCGAACGCGGTTCGGGGTCCACGCTGGATAGTTCGTTCAAGGTCCACGCTGGCAAAAACTGTTCAGGGTCCACTTTGTTAACATTGTTTGAAACACTGTTCGGGGTCCACGCTGGCAGATACACGTTCTCAATGCGTGGCGTCTCTGACCACGCCGTGTGCAGCATGCAGTGCCGCTGTCTGTAACCAGCAAACCTGGCTCCAATGTCTTGTCTCGGCACCCTAGCTGCTGACGCCCGCGTTCTCGAAGAACTCGCGCATCTCCACGAGGCGGTCGTTCCAGGACCTCGACGAGCTGTACCTCTCGAGCAGCTCGGTGTTGTAGTTGCGGATCGCCTGGGCCGTCTGATTGTTCAACTTCTTGAAGTCGTCCAAGTCGAACGTTGACAAGTGCCAAATGTGCAGGATGTCATTCTCGTCCACCTTCTTGGTTTCGTCGCCGCCGCCCCCAGTCGCGTGCTGGCAATTCACAGGGCAGTAGATAACCAAGGGGAAGACGCCTGCTGGGATGCGCACGACAGCGCCCTTGACGAGGAGCAGTGTCACACACTTCGCCTTCACCCAAGACTGACCTGACGGCGTTTCAAAGAAAGCTTTGATGCCGTCCAGCACCATCCCTTGCTCGAGCAGGGCTGCGATTGGGGCGAGCGTGACCAGAGCGCTGGCATTGATGGCCTGCAGGAAGCACGGCAGCCCAGGCAGCGGAACCCCAGTGGGGCCCATTCCCCACGCGTACTGCTTGATCGAAAGGAGCCATGGGCAACGAGCGGGATTCTTGATGCAGCCCTCGTCGACCAGCTCCGACTTGAACTCAGCTGGAGGCGACCCGATCCGACCAGAGAGGCCGACCCATTGATGGTTCTCTGTCAGAGTCTCCTCGGCGCGCTGCATCTTGCTCTCGACCGTGGTGGAGCACGCCTGCTGGTACTTCTTCACCTGGGATACGGGTGAAACGCGGAGGGGGGAGAGTCAGACGAGGATAGAGAGAAAGGTGAAGAGTCCTTCGTGGAGACTCCAGGGCCAGCTCCGAGGTCGGGGGAGGCAGGTCGGGGGCGAGGCCAGAACAAATCAGCTTCGGGGGAAGGTGTGTCGATCGAGATAACCCTCCTCTCCCTCATCACCAACCTTTCCATCGTCGCTTCTCCCCCCTCCCCTCCCACCTCTCCCTCTCCATTATCACCTTCCCCGTCTGCCCTACTAGCAGGGGGCAGGCATGAGCTACTGGGTGCTGGGGCATCGCGAAGCGTGGCGAGAAGAAGAGTGGCGGATGGGGAGATTGGATACATATCCCAAGAGGGCTATATTTGAAATGTGATCGCCCCTAGCCTCCTCCAACGCCACGTGGCCCACAACGTCGAAGACATACACCGTGCTGGGCTCGAACTGCAAGGTCTTCAGCTCCAAGCGTTCGACTGCCAGAGGGCCGGGATTTTTCTGGTCCATCTTCGGAAACGGCATCTTGACCATGAGCTCCTCGGTTGCAGATGTGCCGTTGGCGCCATCGTCGCCAGATCCCATGCCTGCAACCTGCTGTTCCAATTGTTTGGCCGCAATCTTCGCCTTATGCGCGTCTCGGACAACCGAGAGCTGCCTATCGTAGGTCTCCTGGAGCGCGTAGGCCATTTCACACTCTGCCTTCGCGTGCACTGGGCCGAATCCTAAGTCCTTCATGTCCTTCACCACCCTCTCCTTGTAGTGGCGAATCTTCAGCTTGGTGCTCCTACCGCTCTGCGCTTTCTCCTGCACGAAGAACTGCAGGCTGCTCTCCATGCTCTGGTACTTGACCTTGGTTTGCTTCAGCTCCACTTCGAGATTGGACAATGCCGTTTCGCAATCCTTGAACTGGCTGGGCTTGGACTTCTCGATATCCTGCTGAATCGCGGCCAACCTCTTTCTGAAATTGGCCATCTCCTCATTGAACTGATTCATCTTGATGTCTTCGTCCCCATCCACGAGGGACTCGTCGCACAGGCCGTGGTTCCTGACCATTTTAGTAGCGTACCCGTCTTTGCCAAAGATACTGTCCGTGAAAGTCGCGAGCTGCTTTTTCAGGGCCCCCTTCTGCTTGACCGCGTTCGGCTCGTCCTCCTGGTCACCCGACAAGGCCCTCCTGGGGTTGCCAGCCTCCTTGCCCGATGCGCTGCCCAATGCGGAAGCCGCTGCACCGCTCCTGCCACGAGCAGGCTCTGCCGTCGGGGACCGACGCGGGTAGTCCTCGGAGCAGGCGTGAAACCTAAAAAACGTTCCTCACTATCCCCGTCCGCCCCTCCAGCCTGCGCCAAGAGGGGCATTAAGCAAGGCTGAAGAGGGCTCCGAGAGAGCCATAACCAGATAGATTACTGATCTATCTGGTTCCGAAACCTCTTGAAGCCCCCCCGAGCTTCTCTCGGGGCCCACCTGGAACCCTCTGGAGGCCCCCCAGAGGCCTCTGGGCCGAAACTCCCTCCGAAGGGGAAGACGACGACGACGACGACGACGACGACGACGACGACGACGACGACGGCGACGACGACGACGACGACGGCGACGATGCCGACGATGACGACGACGACGACGACGACGGCAGCGACGGCGACGACGACGAAGGTGAGGGAATTTCTGCCTCCACGGGGTGGGCAGAAATTCCCCCAGGAGAAGACGACGACGACGCGAATCGGAACGCCTGGACCAGAGAAAGCACGTTGAAATGGGTTGGGGGGAGTGTAGGGAGTTGAAAAGTCCTGCAGCTGCGCCACGCCCTTCGCAGGTGATGCAAAGCTCGCCGTACCAGCGCCTGAACCCATTGGACCGAACCCAGAGTCGCACTCACATTCATGAGCACTGTCGTTGCATCCCTTCTGCGGGAGCATGATCTGATAGGCGAGCCGCAGACGCTTGTACTCAGGC